CCAAACCCCTGAATCTGTAATCAAGACCCCAGTTACACGCTTTCTTTCCTAAGAGTAACCTTGGTCATGGTGTCTCTTCACAGTGACAGAGCAGTGACTGAGACAGTAGGCACCAGGGGTTCCCATGAAGACGTCAGGGGCCATGACTTGCTGAGCTGCCACTCAGTTCTATAGAATGAAATGGCAATCAATTTCAAGCCTGAAACTTCTTACAAGTGAAGCAGTTTTTGGTTTTTCATCAGCGTCTGGGGAGTAGAATTCCCCAGCACACCATTAAGCATTTCTTGGCAGAGGCTTGCTGGCCGCTCCCCGCACAGGTCTTAGCAGGAGCTGTAAGGGAATAGTCCTCCTCTATCACCCTAGCAGTTCACAGTTGATTTATAGCACTTTGTGATAATGGCAGGTCCCAGTCCTAAGGGACGCGGCAATAAAAAGCTAACCAAATGAAGTGTTTAATTGTATCAACCCCAAGAATTAAGTACAAAGTTTTTCCTCCTTGAGACTCCTTCAGGCAAATGGCCTCTATTCAAGGCTTGATTACACGCACTACCCAGATAAATTCCTGTGATAGATGCAGTGCCATTTGGATTGTTCCTGGGGAACATTTGACTATAAACCTGTTGAGTTGCTGGCAGGAGTTTTTAAAGAAATGTAACAAATAGACTCTAAGACATATCCAACACAAAAGAGTTAATTTCTTTTATTTCTAAGTTAATAGACTAATTTAGAGCAGATTTTAGATACAGAAAAGTTGAGAAGAAAGGGTGGTTTGCATAAGTCCTCCTTTCTCCCCACTCCCCGGCTTTCCCCACTGTTAACATCTTCTGTTAGTGCAGTACATCTGTTACAGCTGATGAGCCGATATGGATATGTTATTAATAGTGCCACTTTAGGGCTCAGACTGTGTTGCAGGTGTTCTGGGTCTTGGGAAATGTATGAAGACATGCCCCCACATTAGGGTATCACAAAGCTCCCATTTGCTCCCTTGTGCACACCTATTCATCCCCCTCTCCTCCAGCTCCTGGCAACTACTGGCTTCCTTTTGTCTCCGTATGTTTTCTCTTTCAGAACGTGTGCTCCTCATAATCATACAGTGTGCACCTTTCCAGACCAGCTCTTCCACTGAGCAACATGCACTTAAGGTTCATCCAATACTTTGTTTCTTTTCATTCTTTAGCAACATTTTAGATGCATATCCCACAGTTTTGTTTTCATTTACCCACTTGAAAGCATATTGATTGTTTCAAATTATTGGTGATCATGAATAAAGCAGATATAAATATTTCTGTATATTTTTGTGTGGACAAATGCTTTCAGTAATAAATACATTAGGGTAATACCGTGAGCACGATGGTCTGATCATTTGGTAAGATGTGTTTGATTTTGTGAGAAGCTAGTAGACTGTCTTCCCAAGTACCTGCACTGTCTTCCTTTCCAAGAGTTCTGCGTAAACATTCTGGCTTCTCAGCTCCTGCCCCAGCATTTGGTACTGTTGGTGTTCTGGATGTTAGCATACTGAAGTGCCTTCACTGGGTTTGTAGCTGTATTATTATTTCAGAGTATCTTAAAAATATACTTCCTTCTCCTGGCTCTGCAGTTTCTAACTTTGTGTTTGAGAGATAAGATTTAGAACCTCCATAAAATTGTAAGAGTGCATGATATTTTCTGGAAGATGGGAATTATTCTTATTATTAGAACCTTGTTTTGATTTTTTTGAGACAGAGCTTCATATAGCTCAGTGTTTTAGTTTGCTTTCTGTTGCTGTGATTAAAATACTCTGACTAAAGCAACTTAGGGGAGGGAAGGATTTATTTGGCTTACACTTCTATTTTACAGTCCATCACTGAGGAAGTCAGGGCAGGATCTCAGAGCGGAACTTGGAAGCAGGAACCCTGGAGGGATGCTGTTTTAGCTTGCTCATGCTTAGCTAGCTTTCTTATACTGATAATCTGCCTAAGGATGGTGCCCACTGTGGGCTGGGCCCTCCTATATCAATTAATAATCAAGATAACCTCCCACAGGCCAATCTGTTCTAGAAAATTCCTCAGTCAAGGACTTCCTTCTCAGAGGATCCTAGGATGTGTCATGTTGACAGTCAAAGCTAACTAGGACACTCAGGCTGGCTTCAAACTTGCTATGTAGCTGAGGCTAGCCTTGAACGTGTGATCTTCCTGCTTCCCCCTCCCAAGCACCAGGATTACAGACATACACCACTGCATCCAGCTTGTTATTGGAATTTAAAAGATGTTTGTCAGCTACAAAGACAAAGTATCTATATGTTAAAAGGTTTTAATAATATTTGTAAACATTCAGTAACTCTTAACCAAAGTCTTCTGATTTAGAGTCCATGATTATAAAGATATTAAATGAAAGATAATTCCATTTATAACCATCAAACAAGGTTTTGGAGCATCTGTAGCGGGACAGGCAAAATATGAGGCCTTGGAGATACACAACTTAACAGCACATGGTCTCTGTTCTCAAGAAATTCAGCCCCCCAGCTTCCTGTAGTCAGTCTGCAGTTAAAGGGGTGGACTCCAAGGCTGCTCTGTCATTTTGCAGGTTACCTCTGCATGCTCAGTGCTGGTTATTCTGTTAATACTCTGATCTGCCCCTTGAAATCCCACCCCTTGGCTCCGCTCTGCATCCTGACTTAAAAGCCTCATTCTAAGGAAAAACTCCTCCCCTTCCTCTCTCTTCTGCTTTTCCTCCCACGAGGTGTGTGCCCTCGACTCCCCCCCTCTCTCTTTCTCTCTTCTTCTCTCTCTTTCTCTCTGTCTCCCTCCTTCCTATCTTTCTCTTCATCTCTCTATTATAATAAACTCTCCACGTGGATGCAGCGTGTGGATTGTGAATTACTGGCTGCAGCCACTGCCGCCAGCCACTGCCTGCAGCATCTGCCCAGCCGGTAGCTGCATCTGCCCAGCCGGTCGCTGCATCTGCCCAGCATGTTTCCTTGCACATGCAGGATACCCTTGGGGGTCCCCCTGCGCAATAATTTGTAATATTGGCACCCAGTGTCGCCAGGCAATCCCACTGCTTTCTCCTGCCCTTCCTTCTCTTACGAACTCGGGGATCCTGTACCACCTGCCATTTTTCAGGCTGGAGCTCCACCTGGGACTCTTCACCCTACCAAATTGGTAACATTCCTCCCTTCCCTTCTGCCATTTTCCCACAAGGGAGGATTCATCTTATTTCACTTGCTGGTACCATGCCCCTCTGCGACAGCATATGGAGACAGCCTGTGCCACTCAATGCCACGGCCCGTAGCCGTTGCTACAATGGTCCATTGTCTGTCTTGTACCATTCATCATTAGTCCTCACTGATTCTCTGGGATGCTGGAGGTCAGATTCCAAATTCGTCTCATTTTGATTGCTGGTACCATGTGTCCTTTGGGCTCATAGCCCTTTGGCCCTCATCCCAATGCGACAACATATGGAGACGGCCTGTGCCCTCTCAGTTCCACGGCCCACAGCCTCTGTGTTGACAGGTCATTGGCTCTCTTGCACCGTTTTCATTGGCCCTCGCTGACCCTCTGGGATGCCAGAGGTCCGTCCCCTGGGCCTTATACTTCATTGTGGAAAAATTTGCCTATGCCCCCCACCACCACCACTGCTGCCAGCCCATGGCTTTGTTCATTCCTGATATGGCCATCTATATTTCTTTCTGACAGACATTTAAATGCTTCAATTTATCTGTTCCTCATCTGCTCAGTTTATTTAAAAACAAGCAACAACAACTACAACAAAAATAACACATGAACATGCGGTCAGGTGCCATATTTATAGGGGCAATCTCATGATCAGGCTGCACCATCTTAAATAAGGGCAACCACATGGTCAAGCCACCATCTGAAATAAGGGCAACCATGTGGTTTAGCCGCCATCTTGGCTAAGGTCAAAACAAGCAGGTCCTATGACCTCACTGCCATCTTTACTAAGGGCAGTATGGGTGGGGCACCTAGCGCTCAGGCTGTCAGTAGTCAGTATGGAGGGAGGTTAGGGGATTGCCTCTCACTGCACATTGTTGAAAGTCCTCTGGCCTTGGCCTGGCGTTCCCCAGCTGCCTTTCTCAGGCTCCAGCTGTCTGGGCAGGGTGGAGGTCCAGTCACAGCTGTTTGTTTCTCCTAGGCTGCTTCTGTTGGCGGCTCAGAGAGGTATCCGCTCCCTCCAGGGCATCAGCGGAACCACATGCAGTCGGTATTATATTAAGATTTTAAAATTTCAGATCTTAACATTAATACAATTCTGATACACTTTGGGTTGCAAGCTCAGGATTTTAGATTTTCCTTGGTTACTCATTACTGCTTTTCCACAATTTGGATTTCAGTACTGACTGATAATACTAATTTATCTAAAACTTTTATTTTTTTTTTCTCATTTGTCTATTCCTAAGGATGATATTTTTTTCTCTCTCCTGGTCTTGGGACTCCTGCTCTTACCAATTATTAAGACCGTGGGCCAAAAGGCTCCAAATAAATTCATAAATTTTAACGCCCATCTCTAGCCTATATTTCAGCAGGCTGGCAGACACATCGAAGCAGCAGTGTGGACCCCAGCCTGCAGCGCTTTCCCCTTACCTTTAACTAGTCAGAAGCCTCCTGACTGCCTGCGCCCTGCTTCAGCTTAAAGCAGCTATGGAGAATACGTTGTTCTGCGCTCCCTGTTCCAAAGCTAGGCTGGAGGGCGTTAGGGATGGAAACCCTGACACAGAGTCCACCAAGAGGGTCCTTTTCCTTGTCTCAGAGGGTCCTTGTCTCAGAGCTGGGCTGCACCCCGACTCACAAGCCTCTTTTCTCCTGTTCTCATTCTGCCTTTCCCTCATCACCCTTCTTTGTCTTCTCAGGAGACATTTGAAGAAATAATTGTTTCTGTATAAGTCATTCAGGGTTATAATCTGGCAGCACTCACAGATCAGAACTACATCTGCAGGGCCTTAAAAATGTTAATAGATTTAGATATCACTGCCAATGGTTTAACAAATGCCTCTCCTTACTCAGGGTCTACTCAGGCTTAAGAATGTGAGCCTCCCTGTCCCTGCTGACTTCACTAAGCTGCAACTAACTGGGAAACCTGTATATCTATCCACATCTAACAGATCTTGTTCCCCCAGTCCTCAAACACATTTGAGATTTGAGAATATGGCACTTAATATAAAAGCCTTTTTATGATGAAGAGACATGTCAGCTCCTGGCAGCATCTTGTATCTCCTCCAAGAAGATAAAAGGCCGCAGAACTGCCACCTGGAAGCTAATGGCAAGGCTGGCCACACAGCGAAAAGCTGAGATCCTGTCCAGACTGTGAATAAGTGGAACAACGGAGGACGGATTGCCCCATACTGCAAAGTCAAGGTGGGTCAGTCTCCCCAAATTTCTACTCCACAGAAAAAAATCTGTCAGATCTTCTGGGCTTATCAGCTGAACAAGTTCTGCCTTTGGGGCTTCTGTCCCCCAGCGACCACGGAGAGACTTGGGATTGCTGCCTAGGTAGCTGGAAAGCTGTCTCACTTCTTCTTAAATTTATCCTTCTCAGATATGATGATGTTTGATGACTAGACTATCAGTTTAACAGTACCAATCCAAAGATTGTATATACATGCTCTCCAATTACAGACAGCTATGCCTCATTCAGACTTCATGGTACAGGATAGACCTGTTTCAGATATAACTCCAGAGGTTCCAAGTTTTAATGCTGATAAATGCAGCTTTGATAAACTGATAGAACACTGACTACAAATAGTTCTTAAGAGTCTTTAAATGGATTTTTTTTTAACCCTTTTACCATGATGTAAATTTGTTCCAGTTGTCTCACAGATACCTACAGGCTCCTGGGAAAAGTTTTGCTACTGCATCAAGAAATCTGGTCTGATGAAAACTAACAATCTCCATAGCTCATTTCTGACCCCACCTATTTTTTTTGGGCATATTTTGCAGATTCATTGTTCCCACCTGACCTCCAGAGAAACAGCAGATGCCATGGCTTCTATATTCCTGATTGGTGTGCCATTTCCCCCCAGGCTCCTGGAACACCACCGCTGCAGCCTGCCTCCTCGGCTCCCTCAAGGAACGTTCCTGAGATCGTCCTTCGTGCGTGACTCCTGGTTCCCCCTTTCCACTTCACCCCTTGTCAACTTGAAGTAGTCTTGAGAATCCAGTGCCCTTGTTCCCCCACTTGCTCACATAACTCACCTCTTTTTATAGTAATCAAAAAGGAGGAATGTTAATATTCTGATCTGCCCCTTGAAATCCCACCCCTTGGTGCCACCCTGTGTCCTGACATAAAAACCTCACTCTAAGGAAAAACTCCTCCCCTTCCTCTCTGTCTTCTGCTCTTCCTCCCATGTGGTGTGCACCCTTGACCTCTCTCTCTCCCTCTTCTCTCTCTCTCCTATCTTTCTCCTCATCTCTCTATTATAATAAACTCTCCACGTGGATGCAGCATCTGGGTTGTGAATTACTGACCGCCTCAGCTGCCATGCCCACATGGCGTGCATCTTCCCAGCATGTTTCCCTGCTGCACAGGATACCCTCGGGGTCCCACAATAATTCGTAACATATGCCAGTAGACGTCACTGTGGTGGAAGCCAGCTAACGGGCTCCGGTCACGTGCTTGGTGGAATTTAGAACTCTCCCTTTGCCCTTTCTCCCTGGCTCTGCATGGTTTACTTATCAACATGGGTTCGTATGGATTTTTGTCTTACTGACAGATTCAGAACTGCTATGGACATAAAATTGTACTTATTTGAAAAGTTTAAGGAGCTTTTTGAAGACTAATTAAAATATGTCTGTAAGAGGAATAGGAATACTTCTCAATGTTTAATCTAATACACAGTATAGCTGGCAGCGAGAGGACTTATAGCTTCATAGATGTTGAGGTTTGCTGAGATTTCTAAACCAGCCATTGCTCATGTTTGATAGCATCCTATCCCTCCTGCCCCCAGTCTTAAGACCTAACAATAAACCGAAAACTTTTACCAACAGTGGAAAATTTAAATTTAACCTTTATAACACAGAGTACTTTAGAGAACATTTTATTCTGTCATAAGAAGAATTTGGTGCAGGGAAAAACTGAACCAAAAATTAAGAGCTTTGCTTTCATTTTAAAGGGCCCATGTATTCATTAAATAAAAATGGCTAATGCTCCACATTTTCCATGATTTGTGCTAATATCCTATTCATTATGAGATCATATTTCAGTGATAGTGAATTTTCTGAAACCAAACAGAGTAATGAATACACAGAAAGAACCAGACTCACTTGGATTTAATATATATATTTTTCTCTATTCCCAAGACACCAATAAGCTTCTGCGCTACCCTCACTTATACCACACTGAGGCCAAGAAGGTTTGCCTTGGTCCTAAGGAGCTTGCTCTGGACCTAGTCACTAGCTCTGGGATGTCTAGTTTACTACTTGGCACCCACAGCTCAGCTAGTCTCTACCAGTGCAGACCCCTCTTCATTCAGTCACTCTGGAGAGTTATTTGTAAATGTTCATCAGGTAACTGGGTAGAATTGGAAAGCTATGGTTTACACTGGGAAGGTTGATGTGGGAAACTCACATTATGGTGTCGTCTTTGTTTTGCTGTGCAGAGGGAGATATTTTGGGGAGCTACCTAACACACCGGTTGTTTTTGTTTTGATTAAAGGTTTCAATGTGTAGCCCTGGCTGGCTTAGAACTCACTATGTAGACCAGGCTAACCTTGAACTCACAGAGCTCGGCTTGCTTCTGCCTCCCTAGTGCTTGGATTAAAGGTGTGTGCCACATCTGACCAGGAATTTAGAAAAAATCTGGGGGCCCATATAAACATTTTTTAATGCCTAAAACCTCAAATCTGTGAGGTTTGGTGTAAAGCTTGTGAATATCAGGAATCATCGGAGAAAACCAGCCTTTTAGGATGGTAAGGACAAGGAGGCGTGGGTAGAAAAAGGGAAAACTGTAAAGCATTTGCATTGCCTGCTTTGGAGTCTTTCCTGCAGACAGGAGGGAGCTGGTGAGGGTGTTTTATTTAGAGTAGAGATGTGATTAGACTTGCCTGCATTCTAGCATGTTGGTTAACGGAGGAGACTAATATAGAGGAAAACAGTCCTGTTCTTGCAATTGGAAATTGACGTGGTGTGTTGAGGGCCTGACTGAAGGCAATCTTTATGAGATTAGATTATAGATTAAAAGGCACTTTCAAGAGATACCTGAGATGGGAAGCTGCTAGGCGGTGGTCAGCTGAAGATAGATGGGCAGACCTGCACAGGGGATTCTGGTTTGGATATTTGGATGGTGATGCCTTTGACCTATTCAGTTATGGAGAAAGAAAAGATTCAAACACAGCTCTCTAATAAGAATTCACTTTTCACACAAGAGACTAAAAACAGCACAAATGAAAACTAGAGAAACAAGTCAATAAAACCCCAAGTCTCTGCCTCCCATTGTCTTTCCCTCCCAAGGACCTGCTTCTTTGCTGCTTTTCATTCAAATCCTGAAACGAGACGAGATCTGAGATATTGCAGACCATGACCAATTCTTGTTAGAATGTCTCCCTAGTGCTACACTGGCTTCTTAGGAATGAGATAAATACAGAGCAGTTTCCTTTCGTGTGAGTAATTGTCTTGTTGCCTAGGCAGAACAATTCTACCCTCAGGCTCTCTGTAAAAGGGTGCCACCTCCTCTTTTTCTAAGTTTATTTTTCTCCGTTTTGAGATTTTCATTGCAATCTTAAACCAAGGTGTCCCAAGGTTATTTAAAAAGCCCACCCCTGGGGCTGGTGAGCAGCTGAGAGGTTGAGAGCACTAACTGTTCCTCTGGAGCACCAGAGTTTGGTTCCCAGCACCCACAGGGTGGCTTACAACAGTCTCTAACTGCAGTTCCAGAGATCTGATGCCCTCTTCTGGCTTCCATGTGCAGGGTATACACGGGTGATCACTCACATACATGCAGGCAAAACACCCATACACATAAAATAACTGTAAATAAATCTAAAACAAAGTCCACATCTTCAATAACTTCTACAATTGTGACGACAGTTACTGAGTGTCTGTGCTAGACTTGAAAATTATGAGGAGAGCCGGGCAGTGGTGGCACACGCCTTTAATCCCAGTATTTGGGAGGCATAGCTAGGCAAATCTCTGTGAGTTTGAGGCCAGCCTGGGCTACCAAGTGAGTTCCAGGAAAGGCACAAAGCTACACAGAGAAACCCTGTCTGGAAAAACCAAAAAAAAAAAAAAAAAAAAAAAAAAAAAAAAAAAGAGAGAGAGAGAGAGAAAGAAAAAAAGAAAGAAAGGAAGAAAGAAAAGAAAATTACAAGGAGAAAGACCAAATCCACGATCATTTAATTAAAGCAAGCTTTATTTTAGAGGTGAACCTGGGACTGGCCAACTGGCTGTCTCACCTTGTCTGGATTTTAGAGAGCAGCCCTGGATGTGAGGAAGACAAGATCTTCATATAGCTCTGGGGTAGAGGGTTTCCAAACAAGGGATTTGGCAGCCAAAATAGGCGGGGTTATAGAAACAGAACATAAGCATAACAAGTTAGTCACAATGACCTCCGGAAACAAAGACATGATTTCCATTCTGGTACAGGCAGTGCAGAACCAGTTTAGTTAGGGTTACAGGCGGGGCATTGCCCAATCCTTGAGAAACAGAGGTTTAATCATAGACGCAGGAATAAACCTAGTTTGTCTTTACCATGAGATGGCTTTGAAGCCTAAGATGGAGACAGGCTGGTTCTTCATCTGCTCTGCAGGAGGCAATGTACTAAGAGATGCAGTTTCCTCTATTTCCATGATACCTATGAGGGATAAGTTAATATCATCACTTTAAATAATTTATTTTTATTTTATGTACATTGGTATTTTGCTTGCATCTATGTCTTTGTGAGGGTGTCCAGTGCCCTGGAACTGGAATTACAGACACAACATCATTTGGGTGCTGGGAATTGAACCTAGGTCCTCTGGAAGAACAGTCAGTGCTCGTAATCTCAGAGCCATCTCTCCAGCCCCCAGTATCATCACTTAAATGATGAAGCAGAAACTCTGTAAACTTAGGAATCTTTCCTCAGATGAGACTTTTATGAACTAATTAGTGAGAAGAGTAAGTTTTTGTGGTTGTTTTACCTGGCTCCAAACCCTTTGAAATTTCCATTCGCCACACTGGTTAAAGACATACATACAAAAATAAGCCAAAAAAAAAAAATTAGTGGAAATTTTAAATATAAACAAAAGGGGAAGGAACATAATACAAGGAAGTCCATCTATCTCTCATTTTTCTTCAGTTGCCAACTTATTTGCCTCATTCCGTCTTCGCTGGCTTACTGTTTCTACAGTCTCCACTCCTGGTCACTTGTTTGCAGTAGGTCATAGGTATTATGTCATTTCACTTGAAAAAAAATTAAGCCGGCTGTGATGGCGCATGCCTTTAATCCCAGCACCCGGGAGGCAGAGGCAGGGGGATCTCTGAGTTCCAGGACAGCCAGGGCTACCCAGAAAGACCCTGTCTCAAAACTCCTGCCCCCTCAAAATTTGTATATGTAGTCTCAAAAGATAACTATTCTAGACAAACAAAAATATTTACCATAGTTGGCATCCCAGTTTCATTTCGTTTGTTATTATAAAATGCCCTGATCTAAAGATGAGCTTTTCTGTTTAGAGTACTTTTTTTTTTTTTCTAAAGGACTTGGGTTCAGTTCCCAGGGCCCACATGGTGGCTCATCACCATCCATAACTTCAGTTCCAAAGGTCCTAACACCCTCTTCTGACCTCCTAGGGCACTAGGCATGCACATGGTGCACAAACATACACATAAACAAAACACTCATAATATAAAATAGATAAATCTAAAAGATGAATTAAAAAGGGAGAAAAGATTGTTAGCTCACAATTCCGGGTTATAGACTCTCATCACAGGGAAGCCAAGGCAGTTAGTCACATCATGTTCCCAGTCAAGAGCAAAGAGAAATCAGTGTGTACATGTCTTTTAATGCTCAGCTCAGTTTCTTCACTCTTATATGGTTTAGGATCCCTTGCATAGGCCAGATTTTTCCATATCAATTAACTTAGTTCAGACAATCCTCACAGACATGCCCACGGGACAACCCAATGTAGACCAGCCCTCATTAAGACTCTCTTTCCAAGTCTAAACAATGGATGGTCGGCAGAGGAGTCCACATCCTTCCCCTAAGGACTGTTCGATTGGGGTGCAGAATTGGGTCATATATATTTTCATATGAAACTTTTTTTGTGATACTCAGAATAAAAAAATATAAGTAATGAAATAAAAAAAAAAGAAAAAAAAAGACTCTCTTTCCAAGTGATTCTAGGAATGTCAAATTGAAAATTAAAGCTAGCCATCACAGTTGGGTATGAAAGCGTTTCTCCAATGACTCATATGTTGAAACCTTGGTTCCCATGATGCAGTATTCAGAAGTGTGCTTTGGGAAATGATTTGCTCATGGAGGGTCTAACTTCATCAAAGGACTCATTATTGGCAGAGTCATAATTTGGTGGGAAGTAATGGAAATTAGGTAGAACCTGGTTGGAGAAAGCAGATCATTTAAAGATAAGTCTTTGAAATGCATTTTTCCTTGTCCCTTTGGGTCTGTGTCCTTTCTGCTTTCTGGCCATCCTGGGGAGTTCATGTTCCTTTTGTCATGAGGTCTTGCCTCACCTCAGATCTAGAAACAGTGATGCCATGTGATCACAGACCAAAACCTCTAAAACTCTTACTAAAGTACATCTTTTCTCTCTTAAGTTATCAGGTTATCTTGTCATAGCATTTTAAAATTCTAACACACTAACTATAATACTATTACCACAACCAAAGAAGTAGGCAATACATTTCTTAACATTGACTATTCCATCAGTATTCCTATTTTATTTTCTCTATGTGTTGAGTGATGTGTGTGTGTGTGTGTGTGTGTGTGTGTGTGTGTGTGTACACATGTTCGTGGGTGTGCCAGTGTGCTTGCATGGATATCAGAAGACAACGTTAGGTGTCATTCCTCAGGTGCCATTCACATTGTTTTTCAGACAGGGTCTGTCATTGGTTTGGAACTCTGCAAGAAGGTCAGGCTGGCTGAACAGCAAGCCCCAGGGACCACCTGTCTCTGCCTCCCCAGCTCTGGGATTTCAAGCATATACCACCATGCCTGGCTTTGTTTTTTAATGTGGGTTCTGGGGTTTAAAGTGAGCTCCTTGTGCTTGTAAGACAGACACTTTATGGATGGAGCGATCTCCTGGGTCCTTTGTCTTGTACATTATTTTACTCAGGTGTTTGATAAGGATGATTGGAACTGATTTTCTTGATGTTTTACTTTTGTTTGTTGTTTAAATTACTTTAAAAATCTCACTTCATTTTGGTTTATCTGCAACTGCAACGAGATAGTCAGGGAATTAAACTTGAGGGATCTAAGAAAACTGCAGGTGTCTGTTGGTGACTGAGTCTCTGTATCCCAGAATGCCCTTTGGCAGTTAAACCATTACTTTTTTTTTTTTTTTTAAGAAGGATTTCACTGTGTATGTAGTCCTGGCCATCCTGGAACTCATTCTGTAGACCAGGCTGGCCTGGAGTTTAGAGGTCCCCCACTCTCTTCAGAGTGCTGGGATTAAAGGTGTACACCACCACTACCTGACACATTCTCTTTCCATTGTATTAGAAGCTCAGGAATTGGCACACACATGCACTAGCAAAAGATCCAGGATTAATTATAACATAATTTACATAATTACATTGAGGTTTTGACCTCCTCCCTTGTGGGCTTTCTAAGAAAATCATGGGAAGAAATACCCTAATAGAGAGAGAGAGAGAGATCTGGTCCATCATAATGTGGGGAAGGAAAAGGGTCACCTTACCTGATAAATATTCTGTCCCTCTCATGAATATTCACAACAACATCTTAAAATCCATCACACACAACTAGTAGGCCTCTGACTGCCCCCTTTGGGGTACCCGCTCCAGTTTCTCTCTCCAGAGTGTCTTTGCATTGCTAAGTAAACTCCACTTAAACTGTCTTGTGTTTCTTAGCAGAATTCTCTCCTTTGAGAAGACAAGAACAAGGGGAACATTTCACTGCTAATGTCTATGATTACACTTGCATCCACAGGAGCTAGGAACACTTCTGTGACAAATTGTAAAGAAACTAAGGAATCAGTGTGTGACCTTGCATCTCTGTTTCTGAGACAGACCGGGGCACCGTGGCAAGAGTCAATCTCAATGGCACAACCTTAAACAGCAGCAGAGGTCACAGCACACCCAGGGCAAATCAGATTTCTGTTTCCTTTGCTCACTGCTTAAAAAACAAGCTAAAGAATCAAACGACTATAGAATTTGAATACTGACCTGCATAATGAAAATGTCACAGAGTAAGAAATTTAAGTGTTGTACACATTTAGTTTTCCTATACTGCCAGGTCCATGCCTGAATATCAGATTCGAATGTGACGGTGTTCAAAGTCGTGAGGTTGGTGATGCTGCTGTCTCAGGCCCCTCCTTCCTAGCTCATTGGTGGATGGTGCCCTTGTTTCTTTGTGTCTTTCTAGAGAACCTTACTATTTATTTAGGCATGGTCTGATTCCCAACTTCATCTGTCCAAAATTGTTCATGTTTTGTTCCATTCTCTGAACAAAAATCTTTTCTCATAAGTCAAGCTAATGTAGTAGAAGCTGATGGCTTCTGGAGTCAGAAATCCTTATGGAGAATTATAGGTCAAGTGTCAAGCCTATGCTGGGTGACCCTGTTCAAGTTGCTTAACTTCTCTGAACATTAATATACCGAACTACAGATATTGAGTATGGAGCTGCTGTAAGTCATGAGAGCTTTTCTACACTCTACATTTCCAGCTAGTCCCTCCCTCCAACCCCGATCTTATATGGTGAGCTATAATGGGCTTCCTTTTCTAGGTCCTTTAGGATGCTTTTGGAGACCTGATTTGGAGGCAACAGGACAATACATGAGAGAAAATGGAGCATGCCAGATAGCTTGCTTCATTCTTTGACCCATTAGAAAAGCCCATGCTTGCCAGTAAGGCCAAATGTGTTGGCACACACCTATAACCACAACACTTGGGAAGGCTGTGATAGGAAGATCTCATGTTCAATGTCAACGTG